CAAAGGTCGTAGGTTCGAATCCCGCCGTGGCCAGGCATATTTTTCAGGCCTGCCCGGTGTGGATATACACTCAGAGTAACATCACACAAACATCTTATTCACCTGAGTACATTACACCAACACAGCAGATTTCATAAATATTAGATTACACTGATATCGAAGGAACTAGACTCAGTTCCGAAATATCGCTTACTCGAACCCTCCTGACCGCATAGCTCAGTTGGAAGAGCATTGGGCTAGTATCCCAAAGGTCGTAGGTTCGAATCCCACCGTGGCCAGGCATATTTTTCAAGCCTGCGCGGTGTGGATATACACTCAGAGTAACATCACACAAAGATCTTATTCACCTGAGTACATTACACCAACACAGCAGATTTCATAAATATTAGATTACACTGATATCGGAGGAACTAGACTCAGTTCCGAAATATCGCTTACTCGAACCGTCCTGACCGCGTAGCTCAGTTAGAAGAGCATTGGGCTAGTATTCCAAAGGTCGTAGGTTCGAGTCCCGCCGTGGCCAGGCATATTTTTCAAGCCTGCCCAGTGTGGATATACACTCAGAGTAACATCACACAAACATCTTATTCACCTGAGTACATTACACCAACACAGCAGATTTCATAAATATTAGATTACACTGATATCGAAGGAACTAGACTCAGTTCCGAAATATCGCTTACTCGAACCGTCCTGACCGCGTAGCTCAGTTGGAAGAGCATTGGGCTAGTATTCCAAAGGTCGTAGGTTCGAATCCCGCCGTGGCCAGGCATATTTTTCAGGCCTGCCCGGTGTGGATATACACTCAGAGTAACATCACACAAACATCTTATTCACCTGAGTACATTACACCAACACATAAATATTACTGTACTGTAGATAATTCAGATCATAGTTGTAAGTAGAGATAGAGGCTATATTTAGTTTATTTTCCCCTTCAATTAAAAACTAGGGATCCAAGGATAGTGTAAAGTTTCAATTTGACAAATACACTGCAAGAACTATATAGAGTTGCCGACAACCTAGAACTTCGCCGACAACTAAATTTTTAATCTTCCAAAACTTCATTTGCATTGGCAGCTGTCGCTAAAAATATCCCCACGAGGTTACTGATATGCTAAATTTATTTTAAAACTATGATCATTCTTATCATCATTATTAGGATTATATTCCAATCATCCTTTTAGCACCCATATTGCACATTTGACTATTGCCACAGTGACAACTTTAGTTGAAATGGCTGTATAAGATATGTTATGTTATATAACAAGCACTACGACATTGCATTCCATTACAAAAATATAAATCGAAGACACAGAAACGTAAAAGGGAGGCGAAAACACTCACATTTTATCCCCATCTGTTCCGCATTTTATCCTCTTATCCGTTCCATGGGATCCGCACAGTTGCACATCCGCTTCCACATTTTAACCTAATTGTGACTTGTTCACAAATCACAATAACAAGCCTCATTGACCTTTGACTTGTTCTCAAGGTCACATTGTGTTTCATCAGTCACTTTCTGCTTTTTGCATGTATTCAATAATGTTACGATAGATTTTAATAGTTTCACAGTTGTAGCAGTGTTTATAGCAGTTTGACAAGCTTTGATACAGATAGATCCTTGTATGTCTGGTAGAATTCTCTTTGTACTGAACACAAGTTTGCACCGTTGGCATTGTGCTAGACATGTATTAAAACACGTTTACATGTTGGCTACCTCCTTGTGTTTTTCTTCTATTGTATAAAGTTTCCTAGCAAGTCAAGCAATTGGCGATAACATGTTGGCTATCTCCTCGTTTAAACTTTAACTCATTAACGCCCAATGCGCCCTGAGATTGACATGTGGGTAACAGACAATGCGCCCGAATGTGCCCTGACATGACACCTTAACTTGCGGGCATGATATTTGAGCACGTGTTGACCGGGTTGCCTAGCAACGGAAATGAAAATAGAACATGAAATTCGAGCTTTTCAACGGTGTATCATGCAAGAAAATCGGTCAGAAACTCACAAAGTTTTTCAAGTTTAAAACCTTAGTTTTTTTTTCAAAAATAATGAATAATGGCGATACTGTTGCAAAGAAATATTTTACAGCAAGTTTTAAAAGCAAGAAAAGAAGAGGTTTTTTAACCATCTACCACGAAAATTTGGCCTGGAAGGAAAGCGAATGTATTGACGTTTTGGGGCCAAGTTCTTCTGTGAACCATGCGCGACATTTTCAGCCAAAAAGATGAGGATTTCTCCAAACTTTATTAAAAATAGAAGTCGGAAATCACAACAAAGATGAACACGGAACACAAGTGAGCAGATACGATGTTTTAAAGGGTATTTTTGAGTAGAAATATGCGATCAAACACTCACAAAATTCGACTGCATTAATGTTGGTTGAATCTAGTTTAAAGTTATCTTTTTATACGAACTGTTTATGCAAATTTGGGCACAATTTCGACTGTTTTCGTGTGTGCGTACGTGCCCTATTTGGCAAGAATACTTCGAGTATTAAATTACAATTATTAAATCACTGTTATATCTATTTTCATCAATTTAGTCTTAAAATGACAACTCGTTTCAGACATATTGTGGTTTGAAATAAGTGTACTGAATTAATGCGCTTGCTTGCCGCGTGCGAATTCTCAAAAAGTCCACACTTGAGTTCTAAAGCTTTTAAAATGATTTTTGTATTGGGTTTTATATCCCCATAAAACTTTAAATCGATAAGGCAGACAGTAATGTTGATCCAACCTCATTTTCTAGTAACTACATGTTGAATCAGAAGGAAAAGTTATCAAAATAGGTCACGACGGTTGTTTGCCATTGTCGCTTCTCTCTGAAATGGCTTCCTTTGCGAGAAGCCATGAAACTGAAGTCCTAACAAAAACATAATTTAGCCGTCCTTTTGGGCCCATTTATTTATCATGAAATCGCTTCACTAGAACATTTTTAATAATGTCTATGGGAAACTTTGTAATTTTTTTAACTAAAAATTTATGGTTTTGGAGGTGTTTATTTTATAAAATAGCATGTGCGACAAAATGGCACTAATGTGGTTTCTCACGTCTGACAAACAACCAAAGATGAAAGTTCTTATTTCACCCTTTTATAGCTATGTGGAATACCCGAATACTAGGTTCTCTTTTTCATGTGAGCATATAGATAACATTTCTACACAATAGTCCTTATGAAGGCTTATTTCAAACTAAAAAAAAGCGATTGTTTTTCAGAGCCAGACTTCAAAAGAGAACGTGTGTCTGACATTTTATAGCAGCCTACATTGGCACGCAAAATAATTTTGGCTAAAAACCGTTGCTTTTCCAACAAAAACATGAGAAAATTGAGCTAAAAGTCTTACCTGATATATGTTTAAAGTGTTTTTCTTTTTATGTTGTTTTTTCAGTGCTTTGAGTAGAGAGGTTAATAGCTTTTGGTTTTGTCACCACAATTTGCCTTTGAAAATGTCGGCTGTCATTGTCTGTGTTAAAAACACCTCAGAAAATTCCTATTTTCTCACCTTCCAATCCTTGGTTTATATTGTTTTGGCTTGCACATTTTGTTGAATTTTAACACTTAGTTGCTGTTCTAAATTTCATGTTGTAAACATCTTGCCCAAAAAAAGCAAAGGAGTATATTTTATAATTTTTGATAATTTTCTAATTCATATACCAAAAAATGAAAATTGGTTATAATATAGATATGTACTAATTTAGTAAATGATTTTTTTTGGGTTTTTATATAAATTTATGTCTCAATCAATTCCATGGGTGCCCAACCCCCCCCCCCCCCCGGCGTTTGTTGGGCTTTTGTCATTTTGGCGAAAAAACGTTGCAAATGCCCCAGTATGGGATCCAAATAATGCAACAAAATCCCCACCCTTGGGGACTTACATTGACGCAAATGCCCCACCCTTGGGGGACAAAATATAAGTTTTCTGAGGATTTCTGATCCAAAAAATCGAATCCAAGCTCTATCACGTATCAATATATCTGTATTTAAAATCGATTCTATAGCCATTTCGTTTTAAAACGTTTTTAATTAAAATATTGAAGTCTCAAAACTTTATATAGCAATATCAAACTGCAGAAGTAAGTCAATATATCAACAGGATGGACAAGAAAAGTCTTGTGTATGTCCGCCATGATTAATTTGCGATACGCACGCTCGTGTAAACATGCGTACTAAAGTACGGCTAAATGGCGAAACAAGCGGTAAATATTCGACTTTTTAGCCTCGAGCAAATTCCCCACCCCGGGGCTAACCTGCAGAAAGCAAATGCCCGACCCTGGGAACAAGTACAGTTGAGAATGCCCGACAAATGCCCGATGGGCAACCATGGAATTGATTGAGACATGGAGATATTGCCCCTTTAGGTGATGAGTGACATGAAAAACAAAGTGTCACTGCTTTACAAATAAAAATTCTCATTGAAAAAACTAATGATATATTTAGGTATGCAAGTTCATTTAAACTAAATTTGGTCAATCATATATCAATAATATTTGGTTGAAAAGACCAGATTTTTTCATGCAACTGTTTCTGATATATTGCCATTTTGGTGAAAGCTCTTGAATTCAATCACATATTCGCCATTTTGCTTCTCCACTTTGGGGGTAGAAACATTGTAACAGCTTGCGCGTTAATGAGTTAAATAAAGAGCTCTCATAGTCAAGAGATTTTCTTTAGTTGCGCAAGTTATTTTCTTCATAAACGCCATATATAAACGTCATACAATGATACAACACCCGCTTCTGTTTAATTAAGTAGTTGTTTACACTCTACTGATCTGATGCAATTTTTCGCTGTTTGTACTGAGTGTAGCCTACACACTGTTGCCATCTATTCTGTGGACTGTGGTTAACTTATACAGTCAATGTATAATGAATATATATATATATATATATATATATGTATAAATAATATTGGCACGTAATATAATGCATATAAACTTGAAACTTTATTAATTTCACCATGCAAAAGTACAATTACAATAAAAAACAAACAAAAATAATAGATGGTGAGGAGACCTCATGAAACCACTGGGCTTATCTAGTGAGGTCACCTCAGACAACAAATAGTATATATATATATATATACACACATTAGGCTAAATGCAATATTTTACTCAAAGAGTTAAAGTATGTGCACAACATATAAAAATTATCTTAGGAGAAATTCTATCATATGTTTTTTAAAGGTGGAAAGACTAGACAAATCTTTTATATGTGATATGGTAAAGCATTCCAAATTTTAGGACCTTGAAAGAGTATAGTAAATTGTTTTAAGTTAGTTCGACAAGCTTGAGGATGATAATTCTCAGCAATTCTTGTATTGTAATTATGGACCTGGTTGTTAGTGATAAATAAGTTCAGAAGAATTGGCGGCAACATTAAATTTTTATAACAGAACATATACCTAGCAACATAAAGTGAATTAACTTTAACAATATCTAGTATACCTAATTGAGTAAATAGAGGATCAGAATGAGCATGGAATGGCATTCTGCATTAGTAATAATACGCACAGCACGGTTTTGTAAGTAAAATATTCATATTTAGGTTTGATACATAGGTTGATGGCCAGGCTCGGTTACAATAAGTAATGTATGGATATATTAGAGTGTAATATAGAGATAATTTTGTTTTAGATGATAAATTGAAGCGTGACCTGTGCAATATACCAACCGACTTTGAAATCTTTTTACTAATATAGCTTATGTGGTCTTTCAACGTTAGATGTTCATCTAAATATACTCCCAAAAATTTTATAATTTTCTTCTGCTCAAATAGTTTATTACCAAAGCAGAGAGAAAAGTTATTGTCTTCCTATTTGATTTAAAAATAATGTAATTTGTTTTCCAGGCCTTAAAATATCGGTCGGTCACAGACATTGTCCGACCCATTCATGAAATTGTCCGACGTAGAGAGGAAACCACCGGACATTCTGTCCGACCAAAGTGAAACTGAGGTTTATTGATTGTCCGACCGAACTGTAGCTTTGTCCGACGTACAAATCAAAATGTACCCTAGCCCAGGACTAGATGCTTGTATGTTAAATGGAAAATCAGGGAACTATTGTATAAAAAGGTGAACTGGAAATGTTGTTTTAACGTATAGTCGAGCGCGGGGCGGCAAGCGAATTGGTGAAGTGGAAAACGGGCTTAAGTTGTCGAAGTCTTTTTTAATACTGCTGTTCTGGCAAGCAAGTTAATTTTGGCTTGGAAATAAGTATGAAAGAAACAAATTATTTAATATTAATTAATATCTTTACAACATTTACCATTTATTCATTTGTGTCATTCAGACTTATTTCCGAGTCAAAACTGAACTGAAGGTCATCGGACATATGTCCGACCCAAACTCAACATCACCGGACATTTTGTCAGACGGCGCTGTAAAATATATTTTAAGGCCTGGTTTTCTTGATATTAACAGAAATTTTGTTACTTTTCATCCAGACATATCAACCTTTTTAAGTCTGCATTCATTACAGACTCTAAATGTTTTGGATCTGAGTGTGAATAGAAAATGCTAGTGTCATCTGCAAAAATCAAAGTTTCTGTCACCTTAGAGGCATATGGAAGATCATTTATATAAAGAATAAAAAACAACAGACCTAGAATAGACCCTTGCGGGACAACACATTTAATTGTTTGCTCAGAAGAGCTCATTTAATTGAATTCAACAAATTGCTTGTGTTCTAAAAAATAGCTTTTGATCCACATCAGAGCTATGCCACAAATGCCGTAGTGTTCCAACTTGTCAAACAGAATATCATGGTCAATGGTGTCAAACGCTTTAGATAGGTCCAAAAAAAACCCCCACAGTTGTTTGCTTACGATCAATGGCCGAGGTTATTTTGTCGACTAAATGGATTAAAGCCATTGAAGTTGAATGGTTTTTTCGAAATCTGAACTGGTAACAATACAGAATTTCATATTGTTCAACAAAAGTAATTAGGCGTTTATACAGAACTCTTTCAAAAATTTTGGAGAAGTTGGTCAACAGAGAAATAGGCCTGTAATTTGAAAAATTTTCACAATTTTCTGCTTTATAAATAGGAATAACTTTAGCAACCTTCAATTTGTGTGGAAAGAGCCCAGTTGTGAGAGAAAGATTAATCAATTGTTTAAGGGACTCAGAAATGAGACAGAAAGAATTCTTAATTAGATACATTGGGATATTATCATTACCGGGAGCTTTATCTCCTTGAAAGTCATGACATATTTCCTCAAGTTCGTGGACATTA